TCGGCTCTAGAGGTGACAGGAAAACCGCACATGTGATGGCCGCCGTGTGGTCCCAATGTCATTAGGGGATGGTAAACTGCCCAACCTGGATTGTTTCCGCCACTTGCACCGCCTACTCTGCGACCGGGTCGTACTACAACGCAGTGGTCCCGCAGGAATTGACGTCATGAATCGGCGAAACACGCTGGTGGTGCCACCGCGAGGAACGACGTCACGCGCCATCGGTCGGCGCAGGAAGTAGTTGGTGACGTGGCGGCGCCTCTCTGACCTGCTCGGTCTTGGATTGACCTGGACACTGACTGACCTGATGGTGGATCCTGACCCGGTAGTGGACCTAACCTGACCTGGACACTGGCTGGCCTGCCAGCAGATCCTGACCTGACCCGGACATTGAATGCCCTGATAAAGGATCCTGACCTGACCCGGACACTGACTGACCTGGTAGTCGGTCTTGAACTCGTGCTCCAGCACGCTCAGCCGCCGCAGTTCCCAGCTCAGCTCGAACGCCTGCAGGATCGGGTCCTTGCTGCTGAGCGCAATCAGCGACGGACTGGCCAGTGCCCGATACGAGTTGATGCGCGAGCGGCTGTGACGCAGCGAGTCCTCCCCGTGTGACGTCATACATTCCTCGCAGCCGCACCTGGCGAGCAGAGGGGCCCTGTAAGTCAGGTGGCCCGCATTGCCGCGCCTGTCGTGGGATGAAGTCAGGTAGTCCGCTGCTGCCACACCCTTGAAAGAGATGCAGCATGATACACTCCTGCAGCAGCACTTGTCACGCAGGGTGCGTGGCGTCCCACGCATCTGACCTCGTGTCATATCTTCCAGTATCACCCAACCAAGAGCGGATTGGTTAAAATACAGTGCCTGCCTGGGAGTGGTTTCCCATAATAGGAGAGCATTACGATACACTTAAGCGAGCTAAAATACGGATCAAACCTGGTAACACCACATACCTGTTTCTCTCTGTTGACATTGGATTGTGATCGCCGCCGGGTATCAAAGGAAGAGGTCTAAACCTGCTTTGAGCCATATGGCTCAAAGTAGGTTTATGAGTGTGTCCGAAAGATGGAGCTGATGCTAGAGATGGTTGGATGCAGAACACACATTGGTTGCTCCTCTAGGTGCGGGGTATCCGGAGTAGGCTGCCTCTGTGGGTGTGTATGCTGTCGTCACCAACAATTTGAAGGACGTGAGCCAATAAAAATTTTCAGGA